CTTGTGCTTCCTTGTGTTCGGTGATTGTATGTTCGGTTTTTAGTGTCGGGGCTGAGGAGAGGGGGCGTTTGTGGCGTTTTCAGCTCATCGATGTTTCAGAACGTTCATTTCAGCCATTTAAAGGTCTCAGTGCTGAGGGTGTACTGTCTCAGTGCTTCCATTCAGGGTGTACTGAGTGATTTCACTGTTTTTAAGCTCCTCTCCTATTCTGCCTTCTGCTTTCCCCGTGTGAAAATAGCATGTTAAGCGGGCCCCTAAAATATCCTTGCTAATTTAATCCCGGTTCTGTTATCCTTTCCCTCTGAAGCCCTGATGGTGTTCCCAGCACAGCTTAAAATCTGGTCCTCCAGCACCTTCAGACGAAGGAATGGATTTTTCTGGGAATGTGTTCAGTCTGAGATTAAAGCCCTAAACATTAGAAATGCATCTATAAATCAAATATTTCAAATTTTACTGCACTGTACATGTTGCAGTTGGACTAATGACCTTTAAAGGTCCCTTTTAACCCAAACTGTTGCATGTCGAGTCCAAAATCCAGGACTTCATTTCAACACTGTTTTATCTTAGCTAAAATAAGTACTAATATGGCTGGAAATTAGTGCAGTCCATCTCTGTAGATTTAATAGAATATTAGCCAAGTATGGCTTTGAAACATTTTTTTAGATCAGCTACGTTTTTTGGGGGGGGAGGGGAATAAAAGCATTAGAATATTATCCCTACTTACGTGAAATATCTAACTGGGTGATGTAGCCAGTGTATTTCCTGCAGGTGGAGAGGAGTGTTCCCAGTGAGGAAGTGGATTAATGTCACTTGTGGTTGTCTGGTGACAGTCTGTGAATGAGGAGGGAGGGAGATGCAGGAGGTTGACACAGTCACAGCTGAAGAAAGACTCTTTTGTACGTGGGGAGGACATTGCCCTTGCATGTCAAAGCTGTACATTCATTTTTTTAAATTGACAGGATGTGCTTGTTTTACTGCCAGGCTGGGCTCATGTTCCAATGTAGTGTTTGCAAAATTAGAAACAGGAAAGATAGAAAGTAACGTATTGTATTGTAAACCAGCAGGTATATATACACACACACACATAATTTTTGTTTTGGCAGAACTTTTGTCAGTCTCATTTTGCAGGGAAAGCTGCAGTTAAACTTAATCTCCAAAACCTGGTTGAAATTGGAAAACAATAGGTGTTTTGTGAATGGGCATTTGGTAAAGGCCCTGGGAACTCTTCAGCACACTGCTACATATTTAGGGTGACCTGACACAGTGAGGTGAATTACCACTTATTTGGGAAAGCTGAGTGGAGAGTGTGGTGTGCAGTAGCTTCTCTCTGTTCCACGGTGTTTATGAAATATGGAAGTGAGGTGGATTTTGTTGTTTAGAAATTGAGACCTTTTATTTAGCATAAATGGCCATTCTGCTTGTAGCTGGGAGATAATCCCCAGGCCTGACTTCAGAGTGGTCATTGCTTGTAAATGCTTTCAGCATTTTCCAAATGATGGCCTACACACACAGGTTTGGGGTTGTTCCTCAGAGTGGGGTGAGTGCTGTGGGTGAAAGCAAGAGAAGCTGGTAAGGTGTAAGGTAAGTAATTGGTAAGGCAGGTGATGCCTCAAATTGGCACTGTCTGCAAAGACTACTAAATAAAAGATGGTTAAAATAGTTCTTTTTAATCTTGGCAGCTGTTTCTTTTATGATTAATTAATTAGAACAGCAGCCTCCTAGGGAGACTCCTCCGTGGATTCCCCTGTACTCCCTTGATAGTCTCTGGTACAGTTTTGTTGGCTGTGGATAAAGACATTTTTTGTTGCTGGTCTGGGGACTGAGTATCAGAGAAGCAGCAATACCTTTGGGGTGTCTCCCCCACAGCCTGGGGATCATTAGATTGTCAGAGCAGATGAAACACAGTTCTATCCTCTGCAGATTGCACTGACTCCTTGCAAGGTGCTGCTCCCTCAGCAGGCAGGCAGTGCTGCTCAGGCCATCACAGGTTTAGCTGAGTTTACTGTGAGACCTCTAATAATGTCAACCCTTTATTTTTTCCACTTGTTGCTAAATCCCTGTCAAGCAGAAAAGTGTGATTGACCAGAATTTGGTTTGTTTTCTCAATGGCCTTGTACCTTTTTTAACCCTCTCCTGCAATTATGCAGAATGAGGATTGATTTTTCTACACCAGAAATTTAGCTTTTATGCCAGGCTAGAGTAGGATTTTTAGGGAGAACTGGAGTAAATCCTACTCATCAAGTCACTTGGGATCATGAGTTATGGCCACCTTGCAAGTCAGATGAGAAACCTTGTGAGGGCTGTGCTAAAGGAGCAGGCAAGAATGGAATGTTTAATCAGTAGGTGTGGCCTATTTAGGAATGTTTTTAAAGTCTAATTTTTTATTTGATCTTGGAAGTCTGAAAATTAGAGCATAAAACCCTGTGCTTAATGATTGGTTCCATGGGGAAAGGGGATGAACCAAGGCTGCCCTTGCATTTGTGAGGCGTAAGTGAAGTTGGGAGGGATTTTAGTACCTGCCAAGTTGCCTTGGGAAGGTCCTGACTCCAATTATACTTTGGTTTCTTATTTAAAGTTTTTAATATTTGTTGCTTATTCTGTGTACCCTGACTGACTTATGATCCATTTTAAATGTTCTTGGAGACTCTGTATCTTCTGTTTCATTTTATGACGTGCTTGATCACCAGAGTTGTGCAGGCTTTGTAGTACTTCTGGCTTTCTGGAGACCAACAGTTTTGGCAATAGCTGCTAATGTTACAGAACATTTTGACTACACACAGCAGGTGGTTTGAATGTCTCACGGTGTCTCTGGTGGTCCTTTTGTCTTTGCAGATGATTCTGCAGACGTTGGGGAAGAGGACAGCTTCTTGGGTCAGACTTCTGCCAGCCCCAACCCACCACAGACTTTCAACTATTTCTCTCAAGTGCCCAGCAGCAGTGATCCCTTTGGAAGTATTGGGCAGCCACCCTTGACAACTGCTGCAACACCTGTGGGAGCACCAGCCTTCTCCAGGCCTCCAACTTCACCTCCACTCGTGTCTGGGTCACAGGATGGGCAAAATGCCTTTTCACCTCATATTCCCAATTCCCAGTCCTACAGTGCCCCACCCACCTCCCAGGTGGGAATCCCACCGTACCAGAGCCCTCAGCAGAGCTGTCCCCCACCCACCAGTGCTCCAGGACTTCCCCCAGGAACACCTCAGCAGGGCTACAACCCCTACAGACACACCACCCTGAGCAGCAGAGCCAACCCCTACCTCACCCCGCCCCAGCTGCAGCAGAGCCATGCCCCTGCCCACACCCCCTCCTCTGTGCCACCCATGCAGATGTACCAGACACCTCCGGGGCCTCTGACACAGGTATGTCTGTCTGACACAGGTATGTCTGTCTGACACAGCTGTGTCTGTCCTTCCCCATGGCCTGGGGCACAACAAAACCACTGAAGTCACTTACCTTCCTCATTCCTGAGGTCCTGCTACCAGAACAAACCAAGTGAGGTCACTGTCCTCTTTCAACTCTATATTTTACCTTTGGAAGGTTTCTCTTCTCCACCAAAAAAACCCAGAAAAAGTCTTGAGCCATTTCTAACAGCAAAATTTTTTTCACTAGGAAAGAGAAACTAGAAAAGTTTCTTTTCTGAAACTGTGTTGTTTCAGGAAAACTTCCTGATTTTTGAAGTGAGTGTACTCTGAGGCTGTAGCCACATGAGCTTCTGGGGTCAGAAACAAAGGCAGGTTGTGAAGTTCTGTAGCTCTTTTCTGTGGGTTTCTGAGTTTGCTGAGTTTCAGCTGTGCTGCTGCACTGTTTGTACCTCTGCTGTAAATGGGGTCATTCAGCCCTTTGCAAGATACAGGCTAAAATCTCTTTTCAAGCTGGTTTTGTTGGTGAAACCAGAATTTTTTGAAACTAAGTCACGTAAAATTGTCAGCAAATTCTTTGAAACACATTGGTTGATGATTTTGTGTGATATAAAGCATTAATCTCCATCCTTTTTTACCTGCACAAAAACATTATTAAAATAATGCAAAGGAGTTGGTAATAACCTGATATGTTGGCCTTGAAAACAGCACAAAATAGTTTTTATTTTGCCTGAGCTATTGCTATATCTCCCTTATCATAAATAAAGAATGTAAATACATAATGACAAAACAATGCAAAGACAGTAGAACCTAAACAATCTGGAGTTTTAGATTATATAATTTCAGAACTTCTGTTTGTTTGATTTATATATTGTACAATATTTTCGTGATTGTTTTCTTCTTTCATTAAATGTATCATCAACCAAAGCAGTTGCTACTGCTGACATCACTTGCTTATAGTTGTACTAACTGGGTTTTTGTACAGTTTGCACAAAATCAGCTTTATGTAGGCTCTAATCCCTTTCAAAATCAGCTACTTTTACTTGGCTGCATCTGAGTTAGAAATCTGCCTGTTGTGATCACTTTGCAGGATGAGAGCTATTACTCAAGTGGGCACTTGCTAAACCTGACAATCTTCATGCAAAAGTGTAATTATGTGTAAATGAATAATGAGAAGAACACGTTTTTATTTTCATGCCAAGTTGTGTAAGAAATAAGCTCAGCTTGAGTTTTGGAAATGGAAAGCTGTGTGAGGTTGATATATATTTTTATTGCCCATATATTTTCAGTTTCCACAGTCCCAGCTCCAGGCTGCCAGGCCTGCAGGTCCCCTGGTCCCAGCCCCTCCTGTCTTGCTGCACAACCAGTATGAGCCAGTTCAGCCACACTGGTTCTACTGTAAGGAGGTGGAGGACAAGCAGATATGGATGCCATTCAGCCTTCTGGATTCTGCAAAACTGGAGGAAGTCTATAATTCTGGTAAGTTCTAACTCATCCAGAGGGGAACAGAAGGACTGAAAGGAAAATACTGGAGTAATGGCACTGCTGTATGAGAGGGTGGTATGGCAGTAATAAGGAAGTTTAATACATATCTTGAAGATGGGTTTTCTGCCACTTAATTTATTTCACTTCCATTATCTGTTGCTTGATACCATCTGTGTTGAGATGTATCATCCCTGGTGGATACCAGAATTTCTCATAGAACTCCTGATTATCTTTGTTTGCCTTTTTGTTAAGCTGTCAGTTCTGGAATGAGTATCATCTCTGGGGATTTCTCAAAGCTTTTTGGTTGTGTGCAGAGCATGTAGAAGGGTTTTAGAAGCAACACAACAGTTGCCTGATATTCTGTAGTTTGTCTTCACGGGATCAGTGTTGGGCCCAGTTCTATTTAATGTCTTTATTGATGATTTAGATGAGGGGATTGAGTCCACCATCAGCAAATTTACAGATGACACTAAGCTGGGGGGGAGTGTCAATCAGCTGGAAGGCAGGAGGGCTCTGCAGAGGGACCTGGACA